ATCTGGAAAATGTAAAAACTAGTCGAAAATAATATAAATATATAACATGTTATAATTTTTAAATGAAATACTTAATGTTTATGTAAGGTTTTTTTTTAGACACTATATATCCAGATCTAATTGATGACATCGTGAGAACAATTTGTGAAAAAAATAATACAAGCGTACTAGATTTTTTGACGGCAGTTAATAATTCAATGCGTTATTTGTTGAGCGATTATTAACTTGTTCAGAATATAAGATTATTTATATTTAGTATAATTTATTTATTAATATAGTGCTGTACTAAAAAAATCGTCAATCATCCACTCATATATTATGTTATATTTTCAAATATGCAGTATGAAATGTAAATTACTTTGACTGTTTGTGAAATGTTAAATATTGAGTATTAACACAATGTTTTTTATCAAAAAACTTTGAAATATTCATAGTTCGAGTTACGACTGTTCCTCTTTGGTAGATACCGTCAAACTAGACATGGATACCAGTTTTCTAAATATTTCATTAGCGCAAGACAACGAGTGACAAAGAAAAATCAATGATAAGAGGAGAAATCACTGACAAGAAGGGGGGAATGATACTACCCTCACATAGGATAATATACTATAGCCAGGCCATAGCAAAGTTTTTTTTTTTTGTTTCGGTTATGTACATTACCAGAAAAATAACCACCTGTGACGGCTTCAAAGGTGCAGAAAAATATAACCATAATACATTTTGTAAAAAAAAAAAATATATATTCGCGATAGAAGGGTGTGAATGACAATGGAAGTGTTAATACATACTATACAATTATAAAAATCTAGTATATTAATTATCGTACTTGTATTAATACTATAATATATTACCTATGTCGCCACATTATTATTATACCTAATTATTATTGCTACGATCATTCGACGATCGAGTAACACACAAACGACTATATTTTATGTAGGTACGGACCCATAAAAAATGTATCACACGTTTTTTTGTTCACTTGTTGTTGTTGTTATCTACCCTGTAAAAATGCCCAAACCCGGAAGAAGCTGGGTTTGGCAGTATGCAAACGGAATAAGTACTGAAAAACCATACTGCAATTATTTATGCGAAGAAAATGTGTTTAACGTTGTCTGTAAAATAGTTACATTCAATGTTTCAGGCTAAAACACAGAAATATTTCTATAGTAACTTGCACTTTTTAAAGGTGTATGTGGTCAATGAAAATGTTACAGAAGCCACAGTACTATACAGTGTACTATATTGTACAAACAAACAAAAATTTCCCTACTCATACTTTAATAAAATACTATGTATAAGCACATTTTTCTTTCCTTGATGATTATATGATATTGTTTTTGATTGACATTATAAAATTACAAATTATTTAGCTACGTCGGTAGTTTCAAGAGCGCTTTCCACTTTTAGTCAGTAACGTATACATTTAATTAACTAATGAAATTAAGAATAACTTTTTAAGTTATTGCAGTTTAAACTTTATGATGGGAGGTTGAATGCGGTAGAGTAATGCGTGAAAAAAAATACTACTCTCCACCTTTCCTCCCGCTCAAAAATTTTGAACTTTACCAACTTTAAAATTAAAAATCCAAAAAAGGTTATTGACGAAACAAAGTGTTCAGTAAATTACCTATTATTATTTTATAAAGTTAAGTGATTTAAGTTTACTTAGTAAAGTAGACCATACCCTCGCCTCCCCCTATCCCCAATTATCGAGCGGGTCCTTTAAAGTATATTAGATAAGAACAGTTAGGAAAAACATTTTGCTAAAACTACTTTAAACAAAATATCATAAGACATTAAGATATTGTGATAATATGATTTTTTTTTCATAATAAAATTACAAATACTATCGTAACACGTATGTAACCTCATTGCCATAAGCTATGCAAACAAGCAACGAAAAAACTAAATGTATTTTAACGACTTATATCGTAATTTACAAAAAATAAATAAAACTACAGTGAGAAAATATGTTTCTACTGCCATTGCGAGGTCGCTGTTCTGAATACTATTATCGTGGGTCTTAAAATCCTATTCTATAGGTATTTGATCTGGGCTTCGGGGACCCTACAATAATGTCAAAGTTATTATCAAGATGGGCCCGTGTGCAAAAGAAAAAGGTACTTCCACAACAAACATGACAATATCCAAGTTTAATTTTTCACTACCCAGTTATCGACTTACAAAATATGTGTTTGCGTTTGGAAAAACAAAGTTAATATTTTCATTACGTATAAAAGACAATGTTGAACAATTTTGAAATTTTGAAAAATATAGTAAAATATGCACCTAGTAGTATAAGAAAAAATATATATATTTATATATTCCGAAAAACGTGTGTCTTACGTCAGACGGATCACCCTGCAAAGCAAACATAGGATCCTGTTACTCCGGGTTACAAATTTTAACAAATTTATTTTAGCATTACGGGTCCGCATAACCACCACAACTCTAAAAAATTTTCATATAAATACCTAATACTTAATAATTATTTAGTTATTAAGTAATTGGTGATAGGTCCATCCATGCCAAATCACCTAGCGTGTTTGCGAGTGGATTTATGAAATGCCTCGAACTTATATAGCCTACGCAAATAGTTCCATAAAACCAAAAAAGTGAAGACATTTTTTTTTTTTAATTCACAAAAGTCTCACAGCTCCTGGTAAAATAAAAACTCCATTTCAAAACTTATTACATGTTCTACATATTATATATAAGTAAGTGCGTATATAAGTATGTGATAAAAAGTTATAGGCTCTTAATATATCACTTTTTAGTAAAATGCTAAACTATAAGGTGACCTATACATCGAAAAAAAAAATGTTATGAATCAAACAAGTATATTATGATGTATCAGTATAAAAAAAAAGTTTTAAAATTTTGACCATATGTCAGTGAAAAAATTGAATGAAATTCATACAATTTTGATTTTGTTATTCAGTTTTTAATTACTTAAATATTTGAAAAAAAATTGTTTAAGTATATTATGAAAAAGAACACTTAAATTAAAATTGTTTTGGGGATAGTTCCATTACGATATCATAATTAGTCAATAAGTAACGTGATCGTGGACTTAAGGTGTTTTCACAACAAATTTCCGGAATATAGCATCGCCTAAGTCCAAAAAAAATTTGAAAAAATGTTGTCTTCACTTTTTTGGTTTTATGGAACTATTTGCATAGGATATATAAGTTTGAGTCGTTTCAAAAATCTACCCGCACACACATTGGTGATTTGGCATGGGATGACCCCACAATGATTTAAGCTGATAATATTATCTGAAACTGTACTCATCCCGATGAGTAAATTATGGAAGCAGGCTATCAAAACTTAATTTTTAAGCGTGTAATTATTTTACTTATTTGATTTTTAAAATTCGAGTAAGTATGGCAACCGAAATGAAAAAAATACGCAGTTAACAGGTTGCATTTTAAACAGACTTTTGAAAGCAGAAAAGTGAAAAAAAAAATTGTTTCATACGTCAATTGAACACTTGTTTATGAAATATTATTTTATTTTTTTATTTTAAGTGTACAGAAATTTTAAATTGTTTTTGCGAGCGACTTATGGTGAAATATTATTGTCGGGAACGCCTAAATTTTTTATAACTGTTTTTATGAACGTTTTTATTACAGCAAAAGTAATGAACACAAATTCCGTCAATAATGTATATGTTACACATTATGATTTGTTGAACTTTAATTTTTTACCGAAAAATAACCTACAAACGTTGTATTATTCTCACAAAAAAAAAAAATTACGGCGGGAATAGGTGTTCGCTTAATATTAATTACTGTATTGATGATTAAGATTTTGCTAACTCTCATAGCCTCTACCCTCCCTTCACCCCTATAAGGTACTTGATAGGATCAGACGTTTGAAAAGTTCACCACTTCCCCTTCAAAATCGAGAAAACCCCCCCCAAAAATGTACATACTTTTCAACTTAAAATTAATGCGCTTTATAAGTTTTTTTTTTTTAAATAGTCGAATTGATTCCAATTTTATGTGGAATATTCTTCAGATGAATTACTATTGAAAAATCAAGAAAATATCAAAAACCTCTTCCCCTAGAAAGGGGAGAAACTGTTTTCCGGCAAACTTTTAGGACTCGACCTACAAAATTAAACTTAATCTAGAATGGGGCTATAACATAAACGGGTTTTTCCAAATCTGGAGTCAACTTTTCTTTTTTTTTTCAGTAAAAACCAAAAGTATTTAAAAATTACACTTTGACCGCAGTCAAAGGTCTAGGTAATTTTATATGAGTAAATCAACAGTCAATAGGATTTGAGAAAACTTTAATTTTAATTATGATATATGGGTAATGAAGGCAATCAATTTTTCTAGACATACAGACTAACTCTAGCCTTATCCACCCCAATACTGAAAATACAGTTTTATGCGCATCATGTCGTTACAATGGTTTTATCACCATTACAGATTTGCATGGAAGTATTTATTATTAAAAGTGATTTAATGACTTTCAGTTATAGTAATTTCTGTAGATCTGTGACCTCCACCGTCCACACAGTGTACTGGCCTTTTTTTTAAATAAAATTATATTAACAGCGTCTGTAACAATTGTTTTGAACTCTCGATGAAAATTCTTTCAAACGGATTTCGTTCAAGTACATTTTTTTCTACGGTATTTTGTCAAAGACATTATAGCAAAAGTACAATAATAATATTATAAGTTCAAATCGTATTACGATCAAATATTATAATATACCTACAGTTTTAGTAAAAGATTTTTAAACATTTTACGTTGGAATAAATTCATTTCTTGTCAAACGCCTCGACGTTAGATGAACGACGAAATTTATTATTTTTTTTTTTTATGTTTCCATTATTGATAGAACTGCTGTTGGTTTGAACGTCTAAAATATAGGCCTTTGTGCGAAACGGTTTTAGCAACGCAAATATCATTAAAACAAACATTGTACATCATTTTCTTATGCCACCGTACGAAATATGAAATAATTATATACTTGATCGCATATAGGCACATCGACAAGACCGCTACAGGGCCGCACCCGAAAACTCTGATCTTGGTTTATCTTACAAGTTAACCGAACTGGTTTCCATCGCAAACGTCAAGCAGTTTAGGTAAGTTTTTTTATAAGACTTTAAAAAAAATCTATTACTCAATAATAATAATTACAACTCTAATGATTACTATTATTTTTATTAATAATACGAGGTACTGTAAGCCATATAATGTTTTCGCAAACTTATAAAATGGTATATTATATTATTTAAAATGAAACCCATCAAACACCCAATTAATATTATTATTATAATTATATAAAAAAATAGAGTTAAGACAATTTTTTTTTTATAATCGTGTTTTTCTTTTAGGCACTTTTGATATTGTTGGGAAAAAAAAACTCTTTAAAAAAAAATGCTTCAAACGTTTTGTTTTATTTGCAATGTATTATGTAAATGTCCAGTTTTGGAAATGATATTTATTTAAAACTTTTTGTATTTTTAGTTGAAAATTAAAATGTGAATTTTATCCGGACCCTAGTTGGTATTTTTAAGTTTTCAGTTGTAGACTATTAACTATAACCCGGCGATTGTACTCGACTAGTTGTAAAATACAAATTAAAATAGTCGGTTGTTTTTGGTAAAAACGTTACAAGTAATGAGCAAGTATTAAGTAAATTAATAGTATTACATAGCCAATAAGTAACAAGTAATTTTAGCGGAACAATCCGACTCTCTACGTCTGAAAATGATTAAGTTATTGCATTATTCTTGTACTATTCACTCACTATGTGTGCAGTGTGCGCACGTTTATTTAGCTCCATTGATTTTCGAGTTTTAAAATATCATACATGTGTTATATGTTATAAGACATATAAGGTCTGAGTGTTCACAAAAAAAAAAATTACATCTAAAAAAACGTTTATCGTGTCCTTTTTCACCAAGTTCCCCAGACGAGGAATCGGTTGACAAAACCTCACTGGTACATAACAGCTAATAATCAACTCCACGACCACCTACAAGTCAGGACGGTAAAAAAAGTGGCTACCCTCTTTGTAATTATTTAGATTTCACTCAAAATTAACCGTTTGGTTACTTATGTAGTTACCAATAACATTTTGACATTTTCATGTCTTTGCTCTGGCGCATAACCAAAAAAAGCGTAACGAAAAAAACGTTACCACACGGAAATGGGGGTAGTATATAGGGGTGGGAGATGGGGGTGAGAGATAGGGGTGGGAGATAGTAGGTAGGGGATAGGAGTAAGGTATAGGAGATAAGAGTTAAGAGATATGTTGTACGTTCAACGTTCAAATTAGTACTAAATGATAAATTCAAAATAGTTTAAGTGCCCAAATTCTTTATGAATTGTTTTAAGCCAAGTATTAAACACTACAATATTAGTCAGAAACTTGATATTTTAATATACTAGCTTGTTACCGCTTGTTAATATACTATATCATTATCTATAATTCCACCACTACTCTAACAAACGATGGGTTTGGTATTGGTATGAAAATAAAAACTAAAGGCCAGAAAGCTACTGCGTGGTTTAAATATTGTGCTTTCAGACCTTTTCTTTACATAAAATACAACAGATGAACAACTGTATTTAAAAGAAATTAATTTTTATTTTTCAGATAAAAATGAAACTCGTCTGTGTCTTGTTATTATTTGCATTTTTAAATGTTTCGGCATTAGAACAAGGTAACTATCGCCGTTTTTTTGAATACTTGAGATTTAAAGAGCATGTATAGTTTCACGGTCCATAAAACTTACTCGGTTAGGTACTCTTTGTGTTTTATAGGATAATTTTATTTTTTATTTTTTTCCCTCATCAATTGATACAAATCGTTTTTTTAATTAATTCGTCAAATCGTTTTATAAATTCGATACTTGCAATGGTTATTTAATTAAATTTGTATTTTTTACAGACAATATACATATTAATAGAATTAATTACATGAAGGAAATGCACATTACAAGTGAGTACCCAAATAAATTATTCATTGATTTTTTTTGTAAAAATTGTTAAATACCGTTCTTACATTGGTTTATGATTTCAATTACAGACTACCAACTCAGACTATTCGAAGAAAGTAAAATATTTTGCAAAATAAAAAAAAATTGATAAATGTGTTTTTTTTATGTTCTTTTTGATACTTGATTTAATTTTTGTTTTACAATTGTAAGTATACATATGAAGTGCACTGTTCTTTAATTTTATAAGTAGTGACGCAAGCTATAGTTAATTCCGTTTAAGCAAAAAGAACATTCATAAAATTCGGTAAAACGACATAAGCACAATTTGTGATTAAGGGTCGAAACGATTGAGCACAATTGGGCCGGGAAAATTAATCTGGAAAAAATCTTCAAACTACTTAAAAATTAGGATTTTTTAAACAACAAATAGATTTTTATAAGTCCCAATCGCTTTCGACCATTCTAACCGAACATTAATATTGAAGGAGTGGATTTTATTTTATTTTTAGTAGTATTAGGAAATGTCTTCGAGTAAAATTTGTAGATAATTTTTTTACTACCGAAGAAAACCTTATACGTTTATTACATTTTACCATCTATATGTAGGTCTTCGGTGTTAATCTACAGATAGTAAAATAAATCGTTTAATCCAAAATTATTTTATCACTTTCCGTAATAATAAAATTAACTGTAACTCACCCGACCCCATTTTGCTAGCTTTGTTATGATATTAATGAAATAAATTGTATTTCATCAATTTAATATGATACATTAGACTATTTATACATAATATATACATTTACAAAAGTGTGTTTTTCCAGGTAAATTGGACGAATTAATTGTACATTTATTGTATTCAACTTTACCAATTGGTAAGTGCATCTTGTATATTAAAAGCAACATCTTATTTATTAGTATAAACTTATTTGTACACTCAAACTCATATAAACATGTATAATTAATTTTTTAATTTAAATTTTTCAATGCTTGCCTCCTTCTAAATTTTTATTAATAGCACTCGGCCAAGAAATAATCGGTGTCTGCTACAATCTAGACTATTTGTTACATGTTTTAGTACAGCTCTACCAATATTGTTTTTGTTCAGGCTTTTAACATCATGTCGATTAATAAGTGCCATCAATTTCTGTTTCATCTTTCTCGTACTAGTTTTTCCATCGCCAGGTTAAAGACCACCGGAGAGATTACATTTTCCAAGGTTTTGATGCTATTATCTGTATCTGCTAACTAGACCTGAATCTCCGTTTTAATGGATTCAATACGATTTTACTAGATTTTTAGGAATTTATATTCCTGTCGTAGGACTGGATATATTAATTTTGAGTTGATATTACTCATGGCTTGCCTGTCCTCATCATAATAATGTCGAGTGTTATCTTGTTTACTTATACTGTATTACTATATTATATACTGTATTCATTTCAGATAAAATGGTTATATTGTTGGCTGCACCAGGTAATAATCCAATAATTATTATCATAGATATTATATTTCATGGAAGTGTTTGAACATATACACTTGACTAATACTAACTATAATATTAAAAAAAATATTATTGACATTTCAGACTACTGTAACGAAGATTATAAAAGTAATGATTTTTAAAATTAGTATTTATTATTCATAGAAAAGTAGAACTTAATTACGAATTTTGTTTTAACTAAAATTTATTAATTTACTTAAATTACATTGACCGCCTCACTGAAGGTAAATAACCTAAACACGCTTGTACAGGAGTCTTAGCACACATGCTATATAAGAATAACTGAAATAGTTTTATAGAAATTTAAACGTTAACATTAATTAAGAAAGTATAGAAAGTATGATCGCTATGGTCATACTAGGTAGAATAATCTGAATAAATTAACTATATGACATTTATTGAATATCTATTGAATTTTTTTCAGCTAGCATAGATATCGAGAGAATATTTCGCAATGTAATAAAAACCAAATACGGTAAAAATGTGAACTAAATAAATTATAAACCACCATACATTTGATTGGTAACGTACTACCTAGATCCCCTACAACTTAGATCACTGAGATATAGGCTGCAAAAAATAGAAACCCAGACAGCACAGAGGTAAAAGTGTTGATCTAGGTGTCTCTCTACCGTTAAATGTGATATTATACTAACATATAAGCATATTTTATAGTATTTGGGTGGATTTGCTGTTAAACTTTAAGAGATAGGAAAATTATTTTAAGCTCATTAAAAATAACTTGTTGAGGGGATGCAAAATATGAAATAAAAATTTAATTTAAGATTTTACAATTAAAAAAATCGTCAAACACAGAAAATAAGAATTAAAAATAAATTAATTAATTGAATATTAGAAGTGCGGTGAAACGTTTAAGAACTTTATCTGATATAGTTCATTCAATATAGAGCTTTGAAGTTGGATATCATAAATAAATAAATAACTAACATATATGTATTAAATTATAACAAATTAAATAAAACATATATATAAACATAAAGTTTATTTTTTATAAAATTCACCAAAAGTTTAACATCAAGAAAGGTTATATACCGACCCCAACTTGGCAAGCGTTTTTGGTTTGTCAATGTTTATCTATAGTACGTTATCAAAAAAATATTCCATACCAATTTGAGACTGATATGGCTAGTATTAAAAAAGTTATAGCAAGCTGTAATATTAAGTAGAAAAATATGTACATTTTATGGGCGTTTTTCTTGTATTTAAAAAGGGAAGAGGTGAACTTTTAAAGTTTTTGGCTTAATAAAGTACCTTTCATGTACGATTTCTTATTAATAGAGTTGCTAAATGAGGAAATCTGTACAACGGTTTAATATATACAAAAAGATAAAAAAAAAATTAAACATTTCATTGTAAAAACGATACAGCTACTTTAAAATAAATGCTAAAAATCATTCAACCAGAAAACTTATTCTTCTTTTTGATTTATTGTTTAGTTTTAATATTTCGTAATTTATTTGTGTTACAGATAATATTCATGAACCTTCAACCACGGACTTAAGTATTATAGAAATTATTAAATTAATTATAAAGTGTTTTCCGAAAACGCTTCGATGCGAAACTTTCCGTCACACGCAGGTCCATTAATTAACGTAGATCCAAAAGAATTTAAAAAAGAATTGTTAAAATTATAAAAAAAAAAAATAGTAGTTTCCAATTTTATTTAAAAATTCAACTTATGATTTAAATTTAAACTTTAAGTATCAGTTTTACATATTATGTTTTAACAGCTTGCGTACGAGTCCGCAACACCAAGAGATACATTTTTATGTATCTAAGGTTGCTAGTAAACACATCAAGTTTCTGGCTAACAATTTAGTGTTTTCATAACATCTAGCCTAAAACAATTCATAGAGAATTTGGCCCCTCAAATTGTTAAATTTATTATTCATTTCTATTTCGAACGTTGTGAATACAACATATATTTTTCAGTTCATGTGCCAAAGCCGACATAAAAATGTCAAAATCAAATTGAAAATTAAAATCTTCGCATCGAAGCTCAAACGAAAAATTAATCGTTGCTAGTATTGATTAACACTAGTAATTAAAAAATGTTTATAGTTACAGATATTTATAAAAAGGAGTTGAAACATTTCGGGGACGATAGAAGAGATTTAATTTACCCATCTTTAAAACGTATACTCGTTAAAGTTGAAAGTACGTATTTTTATTAACAAAACCATATCATTTGTATGTAGTTGCCAAGGGTGGATCTAAAAACAAAAAAAGGAGGAGGGGAGTTTAGAATGAAAATTCACTTCAACTACATACAAGCAATAAAGTGTTTAATAGGTACAATAAAGGTAGCATATTATAATATAGTCATCAAGTTTACATTCCTTTTTTTTTAAAAAAAGCTCTTACAAGCCATTAAGGGTTTTTGCTGCATTTATCAAATTCCTTCCTCCTTCGATTATTGCCGTTTCATATACTTGATTTAAATTTAATCCTTTAACCCGATCTAGCCAACGCTGACGTGGTCTTCCTCTGGGGTGCATTTTATTTAGTTTAGAGACGAGTATTTGTCTCATTAGACTATTCTTATAATCCGTTTTGATATTTTCCTACTATGTCATTTGCGTATGCTTCTATCTTTCGTGAGATAGCTATTGAAAGCGCCTTATACATTGTGTATAATAGCAAAATACCTCGATAATTATCGACTTTAATTGGGTCCCCTTTCTTGAAAATTGGGCAAATAACTGATGAAGTTAGTATTTATATTCCATACATCCATTGTAATTTGGTGGTTAATATATTACTTTTCCTGCAATTTTTAGTAGTTTAGAAAGTTTACATAGTAAAAAAAATATTCTAATATAATTATTTAAAAAAAAAAACTAATGTAAAATTATTCTTTTAATAAAGTTTAAGTACGTAAGGAAGCCCCCCATTGGCGTGACCAGAGGGGGAAGGGGCTGGGGAAGTTAAGATCCTTCTCAAACTCGTTGAGGCTTTCAAACAATGTCAGGCACAGTCCCCAAGTAAGTTTTTTAACAGGTCCGAACTTCCTCAGTCCCTTCCCTCACTAGGTACGTCAATGAAGCCCCTATAGCCCCACTTTATTCGCCCCTGATAGTTACCACCGCTGAGTGCCTGTGATATAGAGCAAGGCCAATTTTTAATTTCTATCGAATTTGATTTAAAATATTAAAGCATCGAGTTTTCTATTAAATCTCTGTATAAAAAATAGCTACTTTTTTTTATTTTATAAAATGTCGACGAATGGCATATAATGGCGTATTGTATTATTCTCTCAAGTATTTATTTTAATCGAAAAATGTATTATTTCATAATTGTTGACTTTCGTGATGTTTTACAAATTATTATTCCTCACTTCTAGTTTAAAACTAACTACAAACAATGTTTGATAATGCGCTGTCTAATAATTATTTTTTATTTTTAGAAGGAGAATTATTAAAGCTTGACGGTCAAAAGGTGTGTTATCTAGTAGCATTGTTGAAAAGTTCAATGGTCCCTCGTGAACGAGTAACGGTTGCTAAATTCGACAGTGAAGGTTGTTGTACAATTGTTATTGTAACAGGCAGTACATCATATTTTAAGCAGTATCACGATGGAGTCCATGTATTACACCCAATTAGTGGTAGTCAAGGTCTCAAACTTGGTGTTGAGCTAGTTTAAGCTTACCTACACAATTGCGAACGTTTTATTTTATTTTTAATACGCTAATACGTTAAATAAACTTTTTGGGTGCACTTCGTGTACTAATATTGTTATCTGTTCTATTTCACAAATTGTAATAAACAATTTTACTGCATAAAAAATACAATGTTTTCTCAATATGTTCATCGGATAGCCCTTTAGTCTGGTTCCCGCCTACTCACGTGTAACTATATTGAAAAGCCAATGAAAGCCAAATGTTATGAGACAATTGAGCAAAATACTTATTTCAGAGCAAAAAAAAAAAAATTTAAACAACGTTCTTTACGTTTTTCAAATAACTTTGTGAACTGTGTCTATTAAATTTAGCTATATTGTGTACATTTGTTACGTTTCTAGCACGTGGTCACACTGAGTAGAAAAAGAGTTTCGGTTATCCGTATATGACCAAGTGTAGCACCATCTGGTTTTAATGTAATATGTGCAATAACTGTGTTTGTAATGACTTAAATTAAAAGTGGTTAACGCCTAAATTCTAAGAAGTTCTACTATGACAACAATATTTAAAAAGAAATGATGATCTAACAAAATTTGGGGGTCCGACGAATGAAATAACTTTTGTTCTAGTAAATATTTTTAAGATTTTTTTTTAAATTTATTTATATTTATTTTTAATTTAAGCATATTATGTTTTATAAATTATTCCATTTCAATATAACTCAACACTGAACACAGAGCAATAAAAATGTTTGTATTTGTAAGCAAAACTGTTTATTATGATCAATAATTTAGTTTTAGTTTTATTATCTACTTGATTGGCATCTACTAGCCAAATATAGCCGTTAAAGGATCTGTATTTAAAAACACTGTCACAACAGTTAGGTTGCAAATATCCAAACCACTAACCTCAGAAAATTTTAAATATAAATCTGGGTGTCTTATACTATTGAATACTTCCATTAAACGACACATACGGCTATACTATTCAACGTCTAGTTCAAGTTGAACTTAAAAAAAAAAAAATAAATGTATTTTGTAATTAAACATTTCCAATTGAACTATGATATAAATCATTAAAACACATTTTGTTTTTTGTTGCTTGCTCGCAAAGATTACGGTAATGAGGTTACATACGTTGTCCAATAATATTCAAAATTTTATCTTCATAAAATATATAAAATAAGAGTCATCATAGGTTATATTTTATTTGCAATTTTAATATAAAAAAAATTGTATTATTAATATTTTATGAAATTTTCTTAGCAGGCTTCTTAGTAGTCTTAGCACAATGATTTTCTAGTTATTATCTAGTACATTTTATTGAGCCCGCTCAATAATGGTAGTAGAAAGGGGAGGGTATGTTGTACTCTATTTCTGAACATGAAATAAAACATTGACACTCATAATAGAATATTTTCTGAAACATTTTTACTCCGTCAAGGTTTTTTCTACGAATTATAAATTTATAAAAAATTTTCAATTATACAAGATGTTCAGCTTAACACGAGATCACACTATCTCCAACGACCAACATAATCTCATAATTTACTGAACACAATGTGAACCACTATAGCTATATGCCTTATATTCGAATAGTAGATATTATACTTTTAAACTTCTTTTTAATTTCTCACTTCCAGTTCCTTTCTATATTGCTTATATGGAAAGGAACTGGCAGTGGGAGCAAATGTCAGAGGAAACAAATTATAGTATTTTTTTAAAAAAAAAGCGTAATGGGAGATTGATTAAGGAGAAAATACTTACTTTTTCTTAAAATAATTTAAAATTTATAGGCTTTCTATAAATTGAAATACACTTTAGTTAATGTTTTTTACATTACTCAACGATCTCCACATCCCGTCATGCATTTTAAACTGCAATACGTTTAAAAGTGATTATCTTAAAATTGTTTTCGACCATTCTACTCTCTCAACAAATAATTCTTAATTAAAAAAGTTGAATCATCGCATACGTTGACTTTTAAATTTCTAAAGTTTATAGAGCTCCAGGAAAAAAACTAAAAAATCTTTAAGTAGATATATCAATTGACCAAGTTCTATAGAACAAGGATTTTTTTTTTTGTAAACTTTATATTGAAACATAAAATTACTTTCGATAGAAATTCTAGCTGCATGACGTGTAGTTGTTTTTTTTTTTTTCTTTGCCACAGTATAACATATTGACATTTATTAACCATAATTAAAACTTTCACGGATACCTACCTGCATTTACTGTAATTAATTGATAACTAAAATTTCGGGTACCTATGTATTCTGGTATGAATTTTAGGTATAAAGTAAACTACATGAGGTCCAGCGACATCACACAGACTAGTGTAACGGTTGCTTCTTTTACTGAAAATGGCAGAATCATATTATATACCAATAATAATTGTGTTTAGTTTGAAATTCAGACTATAAGCTTTACGTAAAGCTTTTATACTTATAATAATTGACCTTTATACCAAATTCGAAAACTTATATTTTCAATCCAAATTTTCTTGCAAAGATTTACTCGTTGCACTATTTTTACAGCTAGTTAAAATGTATACAATTTTTTTTTTGTCCAATTAGTATACGGTTTTTGTTGGGTATTAATAGAAATTACAACAAAATACAAAGATCGGTCGCCAAAGGATATTTAGAAATAATAAAAAAGTATGAAATATATTGAACTGTATATTACATATTTTTAAAACGACTCGTAAAGAGTCGATATATATTAAAAAAATCAATTAGGGACTAGTGTAATGTAATTTTACTGAAAATGGCAGAATCATATAATCTACCAATAATAATTGTTCTTAGTTTGAAATTCAGACTATAAGCTCTACGTAAAGCTTTTATATTTACGACAATCTTTATACCATAATTAAAAACTTAAATTTTCAATACAAATTTTCTTACAAAGATTTACTCGTTGTACTATTTTTACAGCTAGCTAAAATGTATACATTTTTTTTTTGTCTAATTAATATTATTAGCTTTTAAATTACAAAAACAAATACGGTTTTTGTTGGGTGTTAATAGAAATTACAACAAAATACAGAGATCGGTCGATAAGGGGTATTTAGAAATTTTAAAAAGTATGAAATAAATGAAATCGGATATAATAGATTTTTAAAACGACTCGTAAAAGGAATCGAACTATATTATACACATACAAAATTGGCGTAAGGCTGCCTCGCAGTCTAAATTGTAATACACAAGCAGAAATATATTTTGTGCGTGTATTGTTCAAATAATAACATGTTTCCATATTAAACTAGAAAACATATGAAGGTTACTTACCTATGTACGAATTTATCTGTTTAAAAAAAACAACAGATATTATGTTTCTAGTACACATTTTATAAAAGCTATACCTAATTAGCTGATTTAAATATACAAAGGCTTTTTGATACGATCCAAACAACATTCTAAGCTGAGCTTAGAATACATATGAAATTTTCAAAAGTTTTTTAAGTTGTTTTTATGCTATGATTTACTTTTGATACATAGCAGGTATAGTTGCTCTCATATTTGTTATAACAACACCGATTTTTATCATTATTTTGAAGTATAAAATAAAATATTTATCAATAGATTCATGTTTGGAACACATTTTATTGTTTTATTCTGTTGAAGGTTAACATTTGTCAATTTACAAACTTAAAAACATTTAAATAATAGTTTATTAGTGGATGAAACCAGTATTACGTCAATTTTCCATAATGTATAATGCATAAATTACACTTAACTCATAAAACGTAAACTATATAGTAGTAACAGCATTGTTACTACTATTAGCAGGACTATTCCTAATAGCATCACGAATATTGCCATCGTCATCATAACCTGTTCTTCTTCGTAGATCTTGTATCTGCATCATTGTGAAGACTAGTGCATTCGCCTGTGGGTTCAGGCTTGTTTTGTTTAATTCTGGCATCAGAATCTTAAATAGACCAATGTTTACTTTTGCTATAACAAACATTTTCTTTTAATTTTAAATCAATTTTTGATATACAACATATCAGCTATACACTTCACATCTGTCCGGACAAATTAAAAAAGCGCCGAAATTAAAAAAATAAATCTACCTTCTTTTAATTTTCACACCTAACAACATTAGTAAAATAACTCCTAAAAACTAATGCAACGCATTAAGTTATAAAAAAAAAAAAGAAAAACACAAATTCTATTCTATTTGGGTCTATAACATTTAAAGACAAAAAAATATATAGCTAATTTATTGTTATAGGGGAAATATAATATTCATTTTACAATATGATACTCAAAACTTAGCTTAATATTGAATAATTAAATTATTTATAAAAGAACTATTTACTCAAATATAGGTTAGTACATTTTTTTAAGATGTTTTTTATACGCATGTAATACACAATTACTTGTTGTTATTTTATAATAAGTATTTTTGCTATTAATCCAGCACAGATCGAGTAAAGCGAAATCTGTTTAGTTATAATTTGAGATAAAAAAAAATTGTAAATGACGTCAGCTAAAAATGCTTGTTTTATTGAATATCGAAGTAACTATAATACTTATGTATTTTTGATCCGTTCTGCTTAGATAACTTTCTACAGCAGCAGTATTTGAGTCACCCACAAATTCCAAAAACTGATGAATAGCAAGTTCATTAGACACGTCTTGTAAACCAAATATTTTAGTTTTAATGTAGTCATACATGTTATTCAACGCCTGAAATTGGTTTTAACTTATTTTATTTTACTTCGTCATATAAAAAACCTGATTATACAATAAAAAATGTGTTTGGACCCAAAAAATACTCATATGCTTATTTAAAAAACTAACGAATTAATACCTTATCAGATCCGGCGTTCATCTAAAAAAAAATTAATTCCATTATTCGGTAATTCGTTGAATTATGACGAAGTTAATTTTTTTTCATTAATAATTGATACATTATCATCCATACTTATTATAAATATTAAATATTAACACGAATAATATGATTTACAAGATACATGATTCGATACACGATACATAATTCAATTATTCTAAGTATTTTTTTCATGTTTATGTTTTTTATGTTTGAGGTTTGATTAATCATGGTATATTTATATATATACATGTATAAATATATATTATTGGTCCGGATAATTTTCTGCACATAAAAACATTTTTTTTGGTAACTAAAAAAATTGTTGGGAGTTAATGTGACTAAGGGATATAATCCCGATCATTTTTATGTCATTATATTCTTTAAAAACTTAATTCTAATGCAGATTTAAGATAGAATTAATAAACAATTTTTTTATTATAACATTATTTATATTATGAAATATATATTAAACATCAATACGATCAACATAATATACAATATACATAATTAACTATTAAAATATCTATATTTTTTATTGATTTTTTTTTTAATATTAGTTAAGCTTACAATATCACTTGCTAACTAGTTGTAAAAAAAAATACCCTTTCTTTATACATTTAAAAACGGATAATTTTTATTTATTTATTATTTTCTTTACAAGAAAATTAAATTTTTTTATTTTCAATATATTTTTTTTATACTAGAGTACTTAACCACTAGCAATACCATATATTATAAATACCTGTTAACCGATAAAAATAAGACAAAACGTATAAAAGTCATTACAGAAGTAAAACTTTGACCAACGTATTAGAATTATTCAATCAAGTTTTATAGAAAATATGTATATAATTACCGCTCTTATAGACGCTGTTACATTTTTGCCCCCACGAGTGGTTGGTCCTACTACAGGGTATACAAATAAGACAGTAGCTGCTATTAACAAAATAATGAAGTGCATTTTGTTGTATTTTAATCAACAGTGAATAACAGTTTAGCTCGGATGGAAAAGAATGATTTGTTCACTCTACAATTTCAACTAAACGCTGTAAATATTACACATGTAATTGGGTTGTCAGACCCGTTAAATTTAAATAAATAAATAAACATTGTAGGGTGACTTAAAAAAAAAGGAATCATATATTTTTCACGATAACATGTTTGCTTAAGACGTTTTTAGTCTGTGTAAATGAGAATGTGTATTGCAAAACTACATTTTAACGGTATACCGTTGTGAAACGATATAGGTTATTTATTTAGTTTTTTTTTTTTTTTTGTTTAAGTGTTTTTCAACGATAAATACGTCACTTAATAAATGGGAGATCGTTCTCTTATAATCCTGTTTTTGAAAATTACGCCGAAGGCGTTAAATCACATTTATAAAAAATCACATTCGTACTGCTGGTCCAACTTTACTTTGGTTTTTTCCAAACTGTTTTCGCACAAGATCAAACACATTGTGATCCGCTTTTCGTCGACTGTCTTTTCGCCGTCTATTTAATAATATCGGTTTTTTATTTTGGTAATAAGGAAAAACCCTTGTTGAGATAATTATTGTACAAAAAAATCGTGTTACTCTCTTTTAGTCTGAGTTCGGAAGGTTAGGAATTAATTCTTATTAGTTCGTACATTCGGTATAGGTTTTATTGTTAACGTTTTCTGTTCATTATTAAAGTGTACAACGTTGTTCATTTCAACTGGCTGTCTGCGGAGTTTGCTGTTGAAGAAGCCACTATAGTTGAATGCAGTTATCTTCACAATGGTGCTGATGAAAGGTCTACGAAAGAAAGGAGGTTATCAAGAACATGCGAATATTAGGCGTTCTAATGTTGAGGTAGTCTAAAAACAACTCTTTCTAATTTTAACCGTACTCTGAAACGCGTAAAACAACAATAATTCTGGTATACAATTTTCAATACTTTTAGCTTCTATGCGAAGCAGCGTTGCTACTGGTTTTACAATGATGTGGGCTTTTTTTGTGTCTGTATACGCTGTAACTTTTTTAATACTGGACCAATTCTACCGAGTAGCAACTCTAAGCAACTTCATCTAGTAGATACTTTGGGGAGGGGGGAGTGGTCAAAGCTTTAATTTGAAAGTGGTTTTATCACTTTCATTAATAATAATTCCTGTAGACCTGTGACCTCCCCGTCTCCACTATGATCCGACCCCACTGTATTTGCTTTTTTTATGCATAGTTTGTAGTAAATTTTTAATTATATTTTCAAATCATATTGTAATGATGAAAACAACATTTTAATAATGCATGTTTTTAAACAGAATTATTGTGCTTGTGCTCTATTATACTAGAGCCCCAAGCCCATAAAACTATAAGGCTGATACGACTGATAATAGAGTTGTGTATCCAATCCATTACTCATGCATTCTACCACTTAAAATTTGTAAGTAACCAGCTATTTAGTGATTTGTTTGTTTAGTTTTCCTAAAATATTACAAAAAACCTTTAATAATCACATCATTTTCATTCTCAGAATAACATTTTAGGTAATAATATGGACACTTGTGTCATAAATTTACAACAGACAAATTATTTTTTTAATTTGTAATTCAATTTTGGTTAGTAAGACATTTCATTTTTATTTAGCCAGGGATTTAACATTTTGCGAAGCTAAATTTACATTATTTCTTATTACTACAAAATGTGTTGATTAAAAAAAATAATTGTATGATAGTTTAATAGTTATGATGTTTAATAAAAACATATTTATTTGTTAGTATCCTATCAAGAAGAATTTACAAAGTCTTTTTAAATCAGCTAATTTGGTATCGCTTTTATAAAATGTGTACTTGAAACATAATATCTGTTGCTTATAGTTTTTTTCAAATTCGATAAAATTCGTACATATGTAACCTACTTTTTTTTTTTAGTTTAATACGAAAACATGTTATTATTTAAACAATACATTCACAAAATATTTTTCTACTTATGTACTACAACTTAGACTGAAAGGCACCCATACGCCCATTTTGATTTTTTTTAATATAAATCGACCCTTCACGAGTGGTTTTTAAAATATGTAATATACAGTTAAATATATTTCATACTTTTTTATTATTTCTAAGTATCCTTTAGTGACCGATATTTGTATTTTGTTGTAATTTCTATTAACACCCAACAAAAACCGTATACTAATTGGACAAAAAAAAAATTGTATACATTTTAACTAGCTGTAAAAATAGTGCAACGAGTAAATCTTTGCAAGAAAATTTGTATTGAAAATATAAGTATTTGAATTTGGTATAAAGGTCAATTATTATAAATATAAAAGCTTTACGTAGAGCTTATAGTCTGAATTTCAAACTAAACACAATTATTATTGGTATATAATATGATTCTGCCATTTTCAGTAAAAGAAGCAACCGTTACACTAGTCTGTGTGATGTCGCTGGACCTCATGTAGTTAACTTTTTACCTAAAATTCATACCAGAATACATAGGTACCCGAAATTTTAGTTGTCGGTCCATGGTCGGGGAACCCTTCGGGGTGAACCACAAAAGCCAAGGGTACGCCTGTCTTGTTATTATTATTATTTTATGCTTTATTATTATTATCATTATCACTAGTACAATTTGTATTACCTTTATGTTAACTCAACCCAGCCGATAGTCATAATATGCAAAATAAATAAATTATTTCGTATATTTTATAAAGATAAAATGTTGAATACTGTTGTACAACATATGTGACCTCATTACCATGAGTTTTGCGAGCAAGCAACAGAAAACCAAATTGTGCTTTAATGATTTATATCGTTTTTTACAGAAAAAAACACCACATTAAGCAAATATGTTTCTGTGGTTTGTGCGTCATTGTGAAGCCGTCGATTTAAATAATTATCTTAGGGCCTAAAAATCCTATACTATAGGTATTTGATCTTGGCTTCAGGGATCCCGTACAATAGTGCCAAAGTTATAATCAGTGGCTGTTTATCCCAAAGATGGCCCCATATGCAATAAAAAGAGGCTCCAATACCTTTTAATTCTAAATTATACATAGAAGAGTGTATGTATTCTAAATTAACCGAATCTTACACGAATCGCAATTATCCATTTTTATTGAATTAAAATTACATACAAAATACAATTGAATTACAAATAAATAACCATCGGACGAAAAAGTTAAAAAAAACTAATTTGGAAATCAAAGTATTATTATTATAAATGCAAGTCAATTAGATTTGTAAGATGTTTGTCATGAGAGAAGTAAAAACGAAATGCAAAAATTATTATTAGAGATTTTTAACTCTGTTTAAAATGATTATCCTAAAAGATACCTAATTCTTTATTTATCCCTTTGCTGAGTCAGTGCACAGATCGTTAGAAATTATTACTATAACCAAATGTCAAAAAAATGACTTCAAATAAAATATATGTAACCATTTTTTTTATATTATACGGGTACGGATAGGATATGTTATAAATGAGATTTAACGCCATCGGCATAATTTTCAGAATCAAAGCATAAAGTTGTCCTTCAATCACTGAAATAAATAGAATCTTTTAGAACCCATATTTAGGGGGAAATGTACTGGGCTTATACAACTAGCGTAAAACACTCATTTTCTCTGAAAATATGAATATTTGGCAATTTTTTTTTCCTAAGCTTTTAGGTACATATCTTACTATACTTAGAAATGTTTTATCTCCAACCCTTATACGGTAAAGATGTTCAAAACTCGTTTTTTCAATTGGGAATATATGTTTTTCATTCCATAAATATTTAGGTGGACAATTTTTTTTTTTTGAAAATAATAGCGACTGAATTTTGAATTTTTGAATTGCTGACAGAGTCGATAAATATATTGATGTATAAAGTTTGAATGATCATAATTTCAAATCTTTACAATGTAATAATAGTAACGAACTGATTGATGAAAATTAAAAATTCAAACGACAATAATAGCATTTCATATTTTACTACACATATATCGAATTCAAAATAGGTGTTGCCATTTGAAAAAGTGAAGTACATGATCTTTGAACGTAGAATGGATAAAGTCAAAAATGTCCACGATATTGAAAAATATAGTAAAACTTATACCAAAAAGAATAGAAAAAAAATAATTTTCCAAATATTCATATTAACCGAGAAAATGAGTGTCTTGCGCAAGTTGGATCACCCTGTATATAAAGGGTTATTGGCGAACGAGCTACGATTTATTAAGTGATGCATTTTCAACTTATAAACATTTTAACAAAATAATAAAACTAAATAAATAACCCAAATCGTTCCACAGCGATATAGCGTTGTAATATAGTTTTGCAATACACACAGAATCCAATTTACACAGAATAAAAACGTCTGAGCAAATATGTAATAAATGTCTTAGTTTTTTAGGTCACCGCAGAATGTATAAATTGCATAATGAACAAATGAGAACTAATCATTCGTTTTCTATCCGAGTTAAACTGTAATTCACTGTTGATAAAAATACAACAAAATGCACTTCATTATTTTGTTAATAGCAGCTACTGTCTTAATTGCAAACCCTGTAGTGGGACCAAAAACTCGTGTGGGCAAAGATATAACAACGTCTCTAAGTGAGGTAATTATATGCATATTTTCTATAAAACTCGATTGAATAATTCTAATACGTTGGTCAAAGTTTTACTTCTGTAATGACTTTTATACGTTTTGTCTTATTTGTATCGGTTTACAGGTATTTATATTATATGGTATTGCTAGTGGTTAAGTGCTCTAGTATAAAAAAAATATATTGAAAATAAAAAAATTTAATTTTCTTGTAAAGAAAATTATTTATAAATAAAAATTATCCGTTTTTAAAATGTATACAGCAAGAAGTATAACAAGTGATATTGTCTACTTAACTAATGTTAAAAATAAATCTAAAAAATATGTAGATTTTCTTATAGTCGATTATGTGTATTATATATTATATTGATCGTATTGATGTTTAATATTTATTACATGATATAAATAATGTTAATTAAAATTTGTATTAATTCTATCTTAAATTCGCATTCGATACTTAGACAATTTATGTTTTTAAAGTGTATGTACACATACTTTACTATTGCATAATATATATTTAAATATATATATATATATGATTACACTCAAACATGAAATTAGTTTAATTAGAATAGTTTAATAATACCTAATCATGTATATTGTATATTATATTATTCGTGTTAATATTTACAATAATCATGAATGATAAATAAATTATTAATGACTAAAATATTAACTTCGTCATAATTAAACGAATGAATGAATAATGGAATGACTTTTTTTTTAGTTGGTTGCCGGATCTAATGAGGTATTAATTCGTTATATTTTTAAACAAATATTTAAATTTTTTCAGTCGAAACGCAATTTTTATTGTATAATCAGTTTTTTTATATGACGAAGTAAAATAAAACAAGTTAAAACCAATTTCAGGCGTTGGAAAACATGTATAACCACATTAAAACTTATATATATGGTTTACACGAGTATGATGAACTTACAATTGAGCAATTTATGGAATTTGTGGGTGACTCAAATACTGATGCTGTACAAAGTTACCTAAACAGAACGGGGAGACAAAACACAAGTATTATAATTACTTCGATATTCAATAAAAAAAAACATTTTTAGCTGACATCATGTACAATTTTTTTTCTATCTCGAATTTTAACTATACAGATTTCGCTTTACTCGATTCGTGCTGGATTAATAGCAAAAATACTTATTATAAAATAACAACAAGCAATTGTATATTACACGCGTATAAGAAACATCTTAAAAAAATGTACTAACCTATATTTGAGTAAATAGTTATTTTATAAATTAACTAATTATTCAATATTAAGCTAAGTTTTGAGTATCATATTGTAAAATGAATATTATATTTCCCCTATAACAATAAATTAGCTATATATTTTTTTGTCTTTAAATGTTATAGACCCAAATAGAATAGAATTTGTGTTTTTCTTTTTTTTTTTATAACTTAATGCGTTGCATTAGTTTTTAGGAGTTATTTTACTAATGTTGTTAGGTGTGAAAATTAAAAGAAGGTAGATTTATTTTTTTAATTTCGGCGCTTTTTTAATTTGTCCGGACAGATGTGAAGTGTATAGCTGATATGTTGTATATCAAAAATTGATTTAAAATTTAAAAAAAATATTTGTTTTAGAAAAAGTAAACATTAATCTATTTAAGATTCTGATGCCAGAATTAAACAGAGTAAGCCCAACCGCACAGGAGAATGCACTAGTCTTCACAAGTGTGCAGTTACAAGATCTACGAAGAAGAAAAAATTTAACAGGAGATTTCAATTTTAGTTTTCCGTTTGGGAATATTAGTCCTGCTAATAGTAGTACCTAAAGTAGCAGTACTGTTACTACTGGTAGTATATAGTACACGTTTTTTGAGTTATGTGTAATTTATACATATTATATTATGGAAAATTGACATAATGCTGTTTTCATCCACTTATAAACTGATTTTTAAATGTTTTTAAGTTTGTAAATTTGACAAAAAATAACATTCAATAGTATACTGTAATAAATGTGCTTCAAACATAAATGTATTTAAAAATAATTGATTTCATAGTTCTTAACGAATATAAAAATAAGTGTTATTATAAAAAATATGAGTGTAACCATACCTGCTATGTATCAGAAGTAAATAATAAATCATAAAAAAAACTGCTGTGAGTTTTAAAAAGACCCTTCCGCTCCCAGATGTACAATGCTCAGTAGTCACTATCATGTGACTAATTCATTTATATATCATACAAATTATTAAATTACAATGGTTCATAGTCAAATATTCAAATATATAATATAATATGTTTTATCAAATATTAAGAGGATGCCACACTGCCAATTTTTAAGGAGTGAAGTATAGTGAACTTTTTACAAAATATTAACTGAACGGTTAAACTGCGATATGTAACTATGAGTTCAGTAGTTAGGACCCTTTTTTCAGTAGTTAAATTATTTTTCGGACTATCACAGCATCCTTGACAGCGGCTTAAAAAAAAATTTCTGTCGAGTTGAGTTTTATGTGGATTAATTTTTCTCAGGCTTCATGTATAGTGAATGAAAGAAATTCAAACATATTATTTATGACAAAATCATCTGCTTAAAAAAGTACATATATTTTAAGAAAGTCAAAAACGTCCTTTCTTAATTAATTAATTATTAATTAACTGGTTGAAATATTAAAAAAAGGGCAACGGTCGAACAAAGACAATGTAGTTTTGATTACAAGGTGGGTTTTTTTAAGAAAATAACGGGTGTGTGGCGCCCTCTTAAGATAATTTAATTTGTTTATAACCATATATAAGTGGGGACGGACCATGGTGGTGTCGGGGCATAGTGGGGACGGCGAGGTCAATGGTTTACTGAAATTTTTAAATCTGAAAGTGATAAAATATCTTCCAAATAAACGCTTCGTTGCAGATCAGTAGTTAGTGTTTTCAAGCCAGTACGGTCCAAACCAAGCACAGTGTAGATCAGCAAAGTTGGAACGTATTAAATTGAGGTCCTGTATTTACAAATAAGCTCAAGTGTTAATTTTAAAATGATTTTATCCGAGAGGACTAATTAAGTAGAGTATAGGCATAATGGAATCAAAGCGGTATGTTTGAGCTTTATTCTGACTGCCGCTCCCCACACCACCGCCTGTGCTTGCCACCACTGACCGTTTTACAAAAACTACTACTTCTACTACTACTACTACGCACCTGGAGTTGTAGCATTGTAAATACACATAATTAGTTGATTTGCATGATTGTATAATACATATTAGTTGTTAAATTATACACCTATTAGCTATGACCTTTATCAAGCTGGCCAGTGAGTAAGAACATTTGCATATAATAGTTTCCATATTTTTAATTTGCGTGTTGCATTTTATAAAAATCCTATGCGGTCCTCTTGAAACTACCGTACATTACTCGTTAGGATTAGTCCAGTGTTAACACAGTTACATTGTGTACAGACACAAAAAAAAACCCAAATCTTTGTAAAACCAATAGCATCGTTGCTTCGCATCGAAGCTTAAAGTATTAAAATTGTATACCAGAATTATTGCCGTATTACCAGTTTCAGAGTACGGTTAAATTTAGACAGAGCGGTTTTCGATAGAAAATACACTGGTGTAGAGGCGTCTTAATTATGTCAAGATAGATTTTGTTACTTTAAACGCAGTCTATGTATTAATTTGACATCTTAAAAACTCTAAGTAAACTTTAAATGATTTTTCATAAAATAAATGTTCATTATATTGACACCAGAAGAAGTAAATACTCATAGGGTAGTTTGAACAGTTTTTAAAAGTGTATAATTTTCTTATACAGTTGTACTTTTTGTATATTTTAGTCCGGCTATAGTGCCTAATTTTAGTTTCCTTTAGTTTTTTTTCGGCATTAGCAAAGAAAACGGTCTAAAAAGACCAGTTAACAGGTAATTATACTTTGTACTAAATACTTATATATTTATGCGTGATTGTATAACACGAGAATGTTTAACTTTGAAATACTTAAATTACGTTGTTTTTCTTTTAATTTTTTTTTTTTTAAGATGTTTGTTAATCGAATTTGGTTAATTAGGAGTTTTAACTATAAGTTTCGGCAAATCATCTTACTTTATATTCTATACTTGTATACGAAAAAGACAAGAAAAAAACAATGGAATGACCAAAATATGAAATGAGCTCAACAACAAAAAATTGGGCTGCTCCCGAATCGGTCTAGATAGGCAACTGAATTTGCACCCCCGACGACATACATGCAACGTGTTGGACATAGCGGCGCAGTAGGAAAGCACATGAAAAAGGAAAGCGAGCAAGTAAAATTATTTTTTGCATATATTCAATTTGGAATTTACAATTTTATCAAAGATAAAAATATAAAATGCAATTTTGTATTTTTAAATTAGGGAAAGGCCCCCACCGGAACTATGTCCAGAAATTTCGTTATTTCTTGAAATTGAACTATCAAGTTTTTTTTCGGAAAATTATTCCAACAAATCACTTAATTGATAATTATTTTTTGGTGGGAAAAAAGTTGTTCATCATTTTCAAACATCTGGTCAGGTAGTATTATTTTTAAACTTTTTACAACCCCCACCGCTTGCCCCTTAAATGGCTTTTTAAACCTTTTTGAATTGTATATTTTATTTGGGGTTTCTTATTTATTCACCTATGTTTTTTAATGTTATTTATTTATTTTGATAATGTCTATTTGGTATTGATTCTCGTCTTTTTACTGAATTTTTTAATGTTTATGCAAAAGTTGTTAATTGTATACAAAATCTATCATTTAAATACTATTTCTTTGTGTAATAATTTTTTAATAGTATGGTTTAAGGGTCCGCAGCAACCGAAAACAAAGCAACTAAGGGCCAGAATTGAGGCATACTTCTATCTGTGTAAATAGGGTAGCCAACTCTTCAAAGTTGAGGTTTAGCAGCAAACAGCTTGCACAAAATGATGTTTAAACGACTTTACTGCTGATTCCCAGAGACCACCGAAGTGTGGAGTGTAGGGCGGGGAGAATACCCATTGTACACCTTCTTCGATCAGCTCTTCCGGAATCGTACGAACACTGCTTTGGTTTTTTTAAATAGTATTCGAATTCCTTCTGCGCCCCTACAAAGGGCGATAAAGGCCGATTTCTCCAAAGGGAAAATTATATTTTTCCCTAACTCAAATTTTGTTTTGTTCATTATTTTAAAATACTTTTTTGAAGTGATAGTCAAAAAACAGTTAGTATTAAATCCAAAACTCTAAATTTCGCTACTTTCTCTACGCTTATGTATTTCAAATCAAAGTGAATAATTTTTTCTCTTTTATTATTATGGCTGGTATTTTTGTACATTTTTTCTCAATTTTTGTTATATAGTAAAATTATAAACAGATATTTTATCAACGCGTAGGTAAATCTATTCATTTGCCGGTAAAACAAAATTGTTTTTGTGATTTCTGTTATTTTAATAGTTATTATTTGTACCAATCTCTCAAGTACGAAAATATAAAAAAAAAAATTAATATTTTTGTTCGGTATTAGTCGATATACTATTATTTGCTTATATACCATTTTGTGTACTGTTGTTTTTACGGTTTCGCAGTATTTTTTGTCCCAAAAAAAAATTTTTCTATTAGAATAAATAAAAAACAGTTTTACATGCAATAGATATACACTACAATTCCAAAAACTACGGTTAAGAAACAAATAAAGACATTTTTTTCCGACATTTGTTTGTGGAATTCGAAAGGAGGTCACCTGTAAATTCATTACCAAAGATACCCGAACGCCCGGGCACCCAGAGAAATTGCCTACTTTTTTACCATCCAGAAATAGGCTATAGTTAAGGGATTTAATAAGGAGAATAAGGGAAGATAATGTGAAATTGAAAGGGTTGGACGACAAAGCCAGGAGGAAGACTGGGAGTCAGAAACAATAAAACAACGGCTGAAGTCAATAGAAAATAGGTGTTGAAGGGAACTAATAATAGCGTAACATTCAGCTCTAAAAGAGGAAGCATAAGAAATTAATTTTTCGGAATAACAGAAATTAAGTTTATTGGTAAAAAAAAAGGAAAATCTGCTGAATTGAAGGAAACAGAGCCATTGGTATAAATTTATAAGGAATTGGAGAGGTTGGAAGAACAGAGAATTGACTAATGAATTAAATAGGCCATCCGGGTCTTTAGCCATGTGACTAGTGAGTTAGGTGGGATAAAAATATCGCTAGCCTAAAAAAAGGACAGAGAGAGATGTGTTGTAAAGCTGTAGACGAAAAAAAAAGAAGAAAGCGAACACCGTAGGTTATTTGGTATGGTCGTGAGTACGTTTATTGGGGGGGAGGGGGGGGGTGTAACCACAGAGGGAGGGAAAAAACAAATGTAATAATAATTACATATAAGAATAATTCGCGATACAAAAATTAATCTACATATTTTATATTGAAAACCATGTGGATTTCAAATATTATGTACCAACACATTAATGTGTGCTGAATACCAAACTTGTAAAATTGTTTTTGTCGTTGTATATTGATTTAGAGAAGTGATTTTTAAGAGATGCTGATCAAATGTTGTTCACACCGATCCGAAAAATACTTATAAAAATAAGACACTAAAAACAATGGTAAAAAAAAATTGTGTTTTTACACGCAACAATTCAAGGTATTTTATGTACTAACGTATTAAATAGTACGAAAAATCCGGACACATAGACTATTATTAAGTATTTTGGTTGCTCATAATATGTTCTTCATATCGATACCAATGTAAGGTAAATATAACCGAAAAGTATATTTTTCTAACCGTTTACACACTATTGTTTTTTTATAATTTACTAGCGCGTTACTTACAACGAAAATTTAGTGTAAAAAATATAACCTAACACATTATCAATTGAAAACCTAAACTTGGGCGTTTTGGATAAAATGTTATGTACACGTTAGAAAATAATTTACCCGTGCAAATGTTTCCAGATACCAAAAAAAACAAAAATCCAAGTCGCTTACCCTACTTTTTATATTATATATATCTTTGTACAGTGTACACATACACAAAATTTGTTCATGGTTAGTTTTTAGAATTAGAACTTATAAGTAAAAAATTTTCCCAACGACCATTTAACCACCCCAACTTGTACAGTAACTAATTCTGATTATCCGAAGATATCATCAGAAAGAGTAAAACAAATTGAAAAATTAAAAAACAAATTAGGCAATCTTATAAATAAGAATGAGTGGGAGACAAGTGATGTATTGCCTGACAGTGATCCTGGTGGCAAATGCGAGCTGACTGTCAGAGATTGTATAATCTATTATGTGTGTGGGTGTGTATCAAGAAAAATAATTAAACACAAAAAATAAAAAACATGTATAGATTTTTAAACAACGGTGACTCTAAACATAATGCTAGTGACTTAGTTGTAGCTAAGTCTAGAGGCCAATAATTGATGCATCTCAACAAGTATCTACTTCAGTTTTTAAGTTCAGATGAACATATTGACTTTTTCATGTCTTAGCTCTGGCACATAACCGAAAAAAGCATAACGAAAAACTAATGACGAAAATTTAAAACGAAAGAAGCGTTATCACACGGTGATGGGGTTGGCGTGGGAATGGTGATTACTCCCTAATATGCTCTGAACTTTTAAAAAAAAAAAATATATATATATATATATATATATAATAGATTACATTTTTATAATTGAGCGCTGACTTATATTATATTAAATTAATTTTTAAGCAAAGCATATTTGTTTTGAAAAAAGTAGGATTAATTGATCTTTTTCCATAAAAGTGGCTGAACATTTTTCTTTATTTGTTTTTTTTCCTAACCGAGGTTTAGGAATTAAAATTAGACTTAAAGTAGATGTAACCAAAAACGAAAAAGGGTAAACCTACAATTATATATTATACTATTAGTAAAAATAATGGGGATATACAACCCGGAACAATACATTTTTTTGTATTAATGATTTTCGATTTAATGTAAAACTGATCGAACATATTGTTCTTGTACTCCCACACGAAATAATATATTTTCTAAGAAGGTTACAACAAACTATACTCACATAATATGCTAAATAAACCATTTAGTATATTTCGAAGAAGTAACATTATTTCTCAAATTTAAATTATAATAAAATAAAATAAAATAACCCAATACTGCATAGTTTTCCTTTTTTCAATACACCACATAGTATAATTGTAGGATTCGAGAAAAAAACAGTTAAACAAATTTAATACGGACAATTTAAAATTAAGTACAGAATAAAACAAGAAACCATCATGCGTTATTATGCATATTAGTGCATTTACATGCACTAATATTATGTAAAATATGTAAAATAATGCATAATAGATAATTTATGTCAACCGGTAATGTATCTTTGCTAGTCGACTTCTAATTTCCTGAATGAACCTTCGGTTGCGTTTTTAAAACTATCCAAGTTAGTATTGGAGTTTTTTGGGCGTTTACTTTTATCTGCAACAATTGACTCTTGGGCTATAAGCCATTCTCGGTGCTTCGTTAATTCAACATACCACTCATCTGCAATTAAAATATATTTATTATTAATAGATCAGACATATAAGCTGCAAACAACATTCGTATATTCTATAACCCATGTGTCAATTATTACTTTTTATTATTAATAAGATTATTAATTTTTTAATTTGGTGTCAAACAAATCTAAATGAATTACAAGTTTAAATAAAATAATCATAATATAATTGATAACAACTGAATATTAACCTTGGTTTTATTTTTTAATAATTAATTGTCAATTCATACTATCACGTTCTAAAAGTCTGGAGTTTAGTTGCTAACAAGACAGCTCATATATTAAATGTTATAAAATTAAAATAATATTGCTAGCGTATATCAACAAAGAGTCCTAAATAATGCACTGAAAAATGTACAAATATGTCTTTGTTTATTTAATTTTTACAGAACATAAAATAATTGTCATATCCAAAGTTACTTTAAACGTTTTGTTTTTCGGAGTCAGTCGATAAATGACTAAATGTACACATTATCTGTCCCTTTCTTAGAGTACCTAATAATTGTAAAAAAAAAAAATGTATAATTTTTTGAAACAATTGCTACTAACCTATCACTTCGTCGGATGTCTTTGGATAACTTCCTCCGTAGTTAAGTGGGAGAATACTAGGATCGATGTAATTTTTCAGTTCTTCAATGGAGTTGTGATTAAAAATCTATAATATAAATATTAAACTTCAGTAATTTTGAATAACTTTCAAAACATGAATGGTTTACCCTGTTGGAGATTTTTTTTTTCAAAAGCCTTATTACTATATTTAACAATGGCTGTAAAAAGCTTTTTTTGTTAACTATGTGAATTTCGTGTATCCGCGTTGGATATGCCGCCTAAATAAAATAAAAAATACATAAAACAAATAAGACATTATTAACCTTCGTTAATTCGTTGCGTAACCGAAAATACATTGTTTGTAAAATTATGTAAGTTTAGTTTTGTTTGTCTGGACCCACAATATCTTCTTAGTAGTTGAACCTAGTTCAGAAATAGATCAGAAATCGCACCAAAAAAGTATTTTAAATGAGCAAAAATTGAAAAGTTCATCCCTTCCCTGTCTGAAAAGCAGACTGGAGGTAGATCTATAATATATATAGGTATGTTTAATTTTACACGTTAGCCTGTATCATACATAATTTGGTTTTACTGGTACACATTTCTACAATGAGTTTCTAAAGTATTTTTCTGTTTTCATACGAATTTTAAATAATACTTACAAACATGCATTCAATAGTTTTCTTCACATTTAGTAAAAATACAGTCATGTGATTCATTGACAAATTGATCGTGTCTAATATGTAGATATCTTTTTTACAGGTGTCCAAATGAGCGATTCTCAGATCATAAGTTATAAAGCATGATTTAATGAAATCATCATATACAAATTTATCGACATCTTCTGCAGTCCTAGCACTATATAGGACAACTCTGTGACCCTCGTGTGTAGGGTTTGGTAATGGGACGAAAAAACTGAAAAACCATTATAAATTACAACGGTTACCGAAGCATTAATACAATTTTCAAAATATTTAGGAGCATATTTTCATGAATTTATCATCAATTTAATAATCAAATTTAACAACTGAAATGTTTTCTAAAATATTTTAATAGAATACTGCTTCGTTGAATAAGACCTGCAAAAAGGCTTTAATAAAAAGCGTTAAGAAAATAGTTATTTTTTACAGCATGATTGTCTGAAACTGTTGCATTTTATTAATTTATTTTTAAATCGCGAATAATGTACGAAAAATGTTGACCGGTCGGTAACCAGTTTTGGATAATTATTTATGTTGTTATTGAAGTTTCAAGTTCAGGGCAATAGAAAAGTTGAATTGTAGTATTTTTTTTGTCATCAACCAGTCAATTTTTTTATTGAAATATTCTTAATTTAAAAGTTAATAAAATATATCAACATTACCATTTGAGTTTCAAAAAACGATATCGAAAGAACTAATTTGCTAGGTGGATAGGATCATAGGACTTATGGGAAAATCGAGATCGCGTTGTATAAAAACACTATGAAAATAAATAAAATTATTTATCGAGCCCAGTGAGATAATGAGTGGCCCACGATAGAGAATTTCCCCCTTGTATAATAGATATAATAGACACATGTATACTGACGATAGTTTCATTGATTGAATCAACTCCGGCGAAGTCGGATCCCACTTGGAGAAGTATTCTGGCGCTGAGCGTTTTACGGTGTAATGCTGGTCCAACTTTACTTTGGTTTTCTCCATACTGTTTTTGCACAAGATCAAAAACATTTTGATCCGCTTTTCGTCGACTGTCTTTTCGCCGTCTACTCAATAATATGGGGGGTTTTTTTTTGTCGGTTATTAGGATAAACCCTTGTTATATTCTACTAAAAAATGATAATACTGTATTTTACCGTCTGGGTTCGGAAGGTGAGGCTGTTTTCGCATCCATTCCTTGAGAATTTTCACGTCGATAGCGATTTTAGCCTCGGACGTACCCAATTTGTTGTACATTTGATCGATTGCGCTCTGCTTTGGTAATATTAACGCTTTTACTTCCATCGCTATTGAAGCTGCACAAAGTCTTCGAGTGTTGTACTTGCCCTATGAGTTAGCTGTTAACAATAAAAAATTTAATTAAAAAACAATAATCACAGTCTACGCTTGACGAAGAACAGTACAACACTACGTTATATTTAACGGGAATTACATATCAGTGCATTTGTACATAATAGTGCACGTGTTGCCGATCTTGCTTTTTTGGAAATTAAACTTATACGTAGATATATTATTGTTATTGTAATTCAAGAATATTCGTTATTATACATAATATCACAATACAGGGTGATTCTTTTATCATGAGCCACTCATTATCTAACTGTAATAAAACAATTATTTAATTTTCTCATAATGTTTTTATATAATGTGATCTAATTTTTACACAAGTTGTTATTATTCTACCTCCCTACCAAAGTGATTTTTTTATAGCAACTTTTCAAACTTAAATTCTAAAGTATATATATTTTTAACCAGTCTTGAATAACTATTTTTGAAGTTATTGAAGTTTCAAGTTTAGGCCAGGAGGAAAGGTAGAGTGTGGTATTTATTTTATCTGCGCGCACTTCCCCGCCCTTCCTAACTTTTAATATTTCAGTTTAAAAAGATGCTATCAAAAAAAAATGTTGTAGGGGGATAGGAACATAATGGTTTTTGGAAAATTCAGATCACGTTTTATAAAAACCCTATGAAAAAAAAATTAAATTATTTATTAAACCCAGTGAGATTTTGAGTGGCCCATGATAAAATAATCACTCTGTATAACATATTAGTTAGTGCACACAAATTATACCTTGGGCTATCGAAATTCTATAAACGATATTGTAATATGTTAGCACATGCAGGTTTGTCGTACACGATTTAGCCTCTTTTCCATTTGCTGTATAATATTGTATTGGTGATCTTTTTTACCATTCTTGACCAATATGCTAATTTATGTTAACTGGCAATAAATCACTTTACTAGTGGGCTTCTAATTTCCTAAATGGGCCTTCGGTTGCGTTTTCAAAACTGTCCAAGTTAGTTTTGGAGTTTTTTGGGCGTTTACTTTATCTGTAACAATTGGCTCTTGGGCTATAAACCATTCTCGGTGCTTCGTCAATTCATCGTACAAGTCATTTGCAATTAACATATTTATATTACTGATAAATCAGAATTATAAGCTAAAAACCACATGTATTTATTATCATATGAATGTGGACAATTCGTTTTTAAATAAATAGGTAATACTTACATATATGTTTAAAAAATTTGTACTTATCACAAATTCTTTTTAAAATAGTTAAAATACATAGCACTGAATAAAAATTGCCCAAATCAGAACAATACATTTTAAACCTATTAGTACTACAGCTATAATATGTGTGTTATAATATTTATACACATGAAATATTTATAAGTATTCGCTCCTCCCTACTTATATCTACCAAATGATTATTTTCGCCAGTTGTCTACAACTATTATAACTTATTATTATGTATGTACAGGTATATAGGTATATATGATCACCATAAAGAACATATCAATTTGGGGTTTTCTATTTCTTTCTTAACATAATTTGTGGTTTTAATATTTTAACTTAAGCATGACTGTAAAACTTAGTTATTGCAGGTAAGCTATATAGATATCAGTAATTCACAATAAAAAAAAAATCTACCTAATGGTTGTCTTAAAAGTTGTAACTATGGTTTGTTTTATAATATTTTTTGAAATTGATACACATATTATATATTTTACTTTTTCAATCCTGTAAGTGATTTCACTTTTCAGATACATTTTTTTTTTAAAGTATCATTTTTAATTATTTAGTAGAAAAATAGTTATTTACCTATTTAAAAACAACATTATTACATGGATTAATTCAAAACATTTTATTGTTATTGAAATAATAATATATGTAATGATAAAAAATATATAATTGTTCAAAACTAAAAACAATACATTTTTAGTTTTATACAACTGGAGCAACTATAGATTTTGTAATATTTTTTGAAATTGACATTACTCTATTGAATAATGAAATATAAAATTATTTTAAAATTTGTAATTATTATCATTTAGTAGGATGAATTTTTGGTTAGCCGTCTAAAAAAAAATCAATATATGGATTTATACCTTAAATTGGTTTACTTAAAACAATATGAATGTATACCAATCTATCCATTATATAAAATATGGCTGTGGATAAGTAAGGAATACGTTTATACAACAGTCAAATATTATAGGTATTTGATGCACTGAGTATTATTACTATATAACTGTCTAGATCTAAAAACTTTAAGATATTTTATTTAACCGTTTGTCGTCCTGTGCTCTTTTCTGATTTTTACTTCATAAAAAAAAAGTTTGCCTGAAGAATTTTGAATAAGATCACGGTAGCCAAATATACCTTTAGCCAATTTTCCAGATAAAATTAAGTCACTTAAAACAGGGAAATAAAGAAAAAATGTTTACTTTTTATCCCATCTAGGGGAAAAATTTTAAGGTATTTTTTTGGGGTTGTCATTGTATATCGATAATAGTATTAACAACTATAACTGAACAAAATAAAGTACAAATTTGGAAAGTATACTATATTTAAATTAGTTATAACGCGCTGCAAGTTCAAGTTAAAAAATATGTACACTTTTTGGTTGTTTTTCTAAATTCTAAAGGAGAAAAGTTTAAATTATTAAATGTCTGGACCACTAAAATTCCTTTCATAAATGTTCTGTACGATTGCAAACATTTGTCAATTAAAAAACAGTTTTATTTATTTTATCTAACAAAAATTGTTTCGAAAACCGTATTTTTTAATATTTTTGATTTTAAATAATATTCTAAATTGAATCAGCGTAATATTTTTTTTTTGTATAACACAACATTTAGATAGTATTTTTGAATAATACAAAATTTATGGTAGAAAAATTAAAACACTAAACAGGACCACCCTAAATTGTACAGAGTTGAATACAGAAATGATTATAAAATAAAACAATTTGCCAAATCTCTCAGCTAAAACTTCTAATTACTCGGATTCGGTTGACAATCGTGCATAAATGTATTATAACTTGAGTAAATATTATTACCTGTCGGCCGGTCTTTTAGCCTGTGTTTCCTTTGAAAACGCCGAAATAAAACTGAAGATAGAACTAAACTTAGGGACTATAACCAAACGTGTAAGGTATATTATTATATTATAAGAAAATTATACACTTTTAAAAACTATTCGCACTATCTTGTAAGACGTATTTGCTTCTTATTTTGTCAAAACGAACAACATATTAATGTTGACACGGTCTGACCAGTTACCCGGACCGCCAATTGCCCATTAAGCAAAACCCCATCGCAGCTTATCAGCAAAGGCGACCTATGTAATTCAGTTGTTAATGTTATTCCGATTATCTGTAGTTCGACGACGGCCGCACGCGGTGCATCACTGATTACAAATAAACAGTATTTTTAAAACAAACTAAACGCACATAATAAATATGCTACTTAAACCGTATTATAGTATATTTCAAAGAAATAACATTGTTTCTCGATTTAAAATTACAACAGAATAAAATAAATAACCCAATACTGCATAGTTTTTTTTTTTTGCAATATCATAATATAAACCACATAGTAACAGAATAGGATTCGAGAAAAAACCGTTTAAAGTAATTTCAACCATAAAATTAAGTGGAAAATATTACATAAAACCGTCAAATTAAAATATGCACTAATATGTATAATACCTATGTAAAATAATGCGTGATAGATTCTTGACCAATTAGCTTATTTATGTCAACTGGCAATGAATCTCTACTAGTCGACTTCTAGTTTCCTAAAAGAGCCTTCGGTTGCGGTTCCAAAACTATCCAAGTTAGTATTGCAGTTTTTTGGTCGTTTACTTTTATCTGCAACAATTGACTCTTGGGCTATAAGCCATTCTCGGTGCTTCGTCAATTCATCGTACCACTCGTCTGCAATTAAAATATATATTTATTATTATTAAATCAGACGTATAAGCTACTAACAACATTCGTATATATTATAACCCATGAGTCATTTACATTTCAGTATATAAAATATTCAGTTTTTAATTATGTTTCGAACAAACAAAAAATAAATTATATATTCCAAAAAAAAATATATATAAATATATATATATATATATATATTATATACAGAACTTAAGTAATGAAAACTAAATATTAACCTTAGTTTTTTTATTTAAATTTTAATTATCTATTCATTCTACTATGTTCCAAAATGACTACTATCACTATTACCTATCACTTCGTCGGATGTCTTTGGATAACTTCCTCCGTAGTTAAGTGGGAGAATACTAGGACCGATGTAATTTTTCAGTTCTTCAATGGAGTTGTGATTAAAAATCTATAATATAAATATTAAACTTCAGTAATTTTGAATAACTTTCAAAACATGAATGATTTACCCTGTTGGAGATTTTTTTTTTCATAAGACTTATTACTATATTCATCAATGGCTGTATGAAACTTTTTACATTAACCATGTGAATTTCATGTATCCGCATTGGATATGCCTCCTAAATAAAATAAAAAATACATAAAACAAATAAAACATTATTACCTAGCTTCGTTGCGTAACCGAAAAGATAATGTTTGTAAAATGATGTATTTTAATTTTGTGTCTTGACCCACTGTATCTTCTTAGCAGCCGAAGCCTGAACCGAGTTCTTCAAGTAGTTACTCCATTAATCAAAAATTACATCTGAAAGGTGCTATATAAGGGCAAAAATTTAAAAAGTTCGCCCCTTCCCTGTCTGAAAATCTATAGTAATCTATAATTATTATAAATTTATATAAGCCTGTAATATGTATATAATTTTTTTTTAAATCTTTAAAAGGGAAAATTTGTTTTTAAATGTTGACCTTGTAACCAATTTTAAAAATTTTAATTTTATAGTTTGACAGTCTTACAATAGTATACATATTGGAAATATTATGTATTTTTACATACATAATGTAATCATCACGGTGTAATTTTCTCAGTATACTTTTATAATATTACCTACCTATGGTTTACTGGTGAAATAACAAGTACACATTTAAAAAATGAATTAATATACTCTTGTTTAAGTTTAATACGAGTTTTAAAAACTACTTACAAATGTACATTCAACGGCTTTCTTCACATTTAGTAAAAACGTAGTCACGTGATTCATTGTGAAATTGTTCAAGTCCAATATGTATATATCTGTCTTACAGGCGTCCAATTGAGCGATTCTCAGATCATAAGTCATAAAGCATAGTTTAATAAAATCATTATATACAAATTTATCGACATCTTCTGTAGTCCTAGCACTATATAGGACAACTCTGTGACCCTCGTGTGTAGGGTTTGGTAATGGGACGAAAAGACTGAAAAACCATTATAAATTACAACGGTTAACGAAGCATTAATACATTTTTCAAAATATTTAAGAGCGCATTTTCATGAATTTATGATCAATTTAATAATCAAATTTAACAACTGAAATGTTTTCTAAAATATTTTAATAGAATACTGCTTCGTTGAATAAGACCTGCAAAAAGGCTTTAATAAAAACAAATAAAAAGCGTTACGAAAATAGTTATTTTTTACAGCATGATTGTCTGAAACTGATGCATTTTATTAATTTTTTTTTAAATCGCGAGTAATGTACGAAAAATGTTGACCGGTCGGTAACCAGTTTTGGATAATTATTTATGTTGTTATTGAAGTTTCAAGTTCAGGGCAATAGAAAAGGTGAATTGTAGTATTTTTTTTGTCATCAACCAGTCAATTTGTTTAGTGAAATATTCTTAATTTAAAAGTTAATATAATATATCAACATTACCATTTGAGTTTCAAAAAACGATATCGAAAGAACTAATTTGCTAGGTGGATAGGATCATAGGACTTATGGGAAAATCGAGATCGCGTTGTATAAAAACACTATGAAAACAAATTAAACTATTTATCGAGCCCAGTGAGATAATGAGTGGCCCACGATAGAGAATTTCCCCCTTGTATAATATATATAATAGACACATGTATACTGACGATAGTTTCATTGATTGAATCAACTCCGGCAAAGTCGGATCCCACTTGGAGAAGTATTCTGGCGCTGAGGGTTTTACGGTGTAATGCTGGTCCAACTTTACTTTGGTTTTCTCCATACTGTTTTTGCACAAGATCAAAAACATTTTGATCCGCTTTTCGTCGACTGTCTTTTCGCCGTCTACTCAATAATATGGGGGTTTTTTTTTTGTCGGTAATAAGGAAAAACCCTTGTTAAAAAAAATATTCTACTAAAAAATGATAATACTGTATTTTACCGTCTGGGTTCGGAAGGTGAGGCTGTTTTCGCATCCATTCCTTGAGAATTTTCAAGTCGATAGCGATTTTAGCCTCGGACGTACCCAATTCGCTGTACATTTGATCGATTGCGCTCTGCTTTGGTAATATTAACGCTTTGACCTCCATTGCTATTGAAGTGGCACAAAATCTTCGAGTGTTATACTAGCCCTATGTATTAGCTGTTAACAATAAAGCATTTCATAAAATTATAATCGCAATCCACGCTTGGCGAAGTGCAGTACAACACTACGCTATATTTTATTCGACAACTAGAAATAAATTAACATTGTTTTTAGAATTTGTTTTTTTTTTTTTGTTAACAAGTAACATTTTTACATTTAATTGCCGTCTTTATTGTTTGTTCATTTGATTGTACTCGTCCTTGCATCTCGTGAGAAAAAAGTATTACAATGAGTATTTTAATATAATTTCTCATAAAAAACTTTATTCATATTTTTGGTTAATTTTATATTCTGTAGCGGCCACATGTAGCCGACATTGCTTAATTAGATATTAGACTTATACGTAGATATATTATTGTTATTGTAATTCAAGAATCATTTTATTATACATAATATTTTTAGTTAGTGCTATAAAAATGAAATGCATAGATAATTGCAAATGCATACATCATATGTTAACTACTTTTTATTAATTCAATTATTCAATTTTGAATTAGGTCTCTAACAAGCATAAAATATATAGTTAACTGCAAATATAACTCAGATAGTAAAAACTAAGTATTGATCTTGGTTTTTTATACAAAATACAATACATAAATATATATATATACAAAATATATTTTAGGGTAGTCCTTTGTCATAGATAAAGAGTTTTTTTCATATAAAATAAACAAAAGAAAATCAATTAATTGTCAATAGGTTTAATGAGCTTTTTGACGCTGCTCACTTGGCTGCCTTAGATATCCATATAGATATGATAAAACCAATTTAGATAAGCAGTTTTAAATAACGTAATCAAAGACAAAAAGGTCGACAATGATCATTTTAGTGTATTTATGTTTTTCTTAATTCCTCCTAACGTATAACTGAATATTGACATTCTTATAGCATTATATCCATTTATCAAGGAATTGCTTGTATTCCAACAACTCCACAAAACTCTGTTACCAGATCTATGATAACTAATTGTCTTTTTTTCTAATGTGATAACATTGCAATTTGCAATTTAATTATTTAAAACTATTTTCATTTTCAATAATGATTGAACTCTGATAAGTCGACGATGTAATTTTACAATCGGTAAGAAGCCTTTAGCCAGTTCAAAGTACAACCACTTCATCAACTACAAAAACAGGTAGGATTTCATATTAACTGCCGTTAATATGCAATCATTCTCGGCACGTGCATGCCGTGGAAACGTTTAAACAAATAAAATTAATAAAGCACGAATCTCTGACGCCGTTGGTTTCAGCCATTATTTTTCTAACACTTATAATGTTAATGTTTGTATAAGAAAAAATGGTACCGGCCTTCCAATAGAATTGAACGGAACAGTTTTGAAGTCTCGACAAAATGATTTTGAACGTGTGTATTGTTGCCATTTTCATGTATTAATGGTCTTGTAATGTAGATATGTTCCATTAGCTTGGACCATTGGCACAAGTCATGATGGTTATTTATTTAAAAGTAGATATATTTACAGAATTATGTTTTACTATAAAAAATATAAATCTTACTGTAATGTAAAAAAAAAAAAAATTGCAAACATTAAATTTTTATCTTGGAGAATAAAAAAATATTCGAATAATTAAAAAAAATTATTATTTAAATAGTTTGTAAGTGCTTTCAGTGTAATCAAAATTGTATCAATTAAAAAGTTTCATTTTGAAAATATTGACTTGCTAATGAGTTGTTAACAATTTTACTAACGCAGCTAATAACACTTTGTAATATAACACATTAATTAAACTTAATATAATATTATACCTTTAGTATAATAAGTAGT